TTGACCCCATACACAAGCTGCAGCCAGGAACTCCAGCTGGTAGCCCCATCGGGGAGGAAGGAAGACCAGTAGCTATGCAGGAAGGCAGTGCTGGAGAGGAAAGAAAAGGCAGGGGTAGGAACTGTGGTGGTTTGGTGGGGTCCCAGCCCAGCAGCCAAGTGAACTCCAAGCAAGGCCCAGTATGTGAGGGTATGTGTGCATATGTGTGCACGTGGTGTGAGTGTGAGAACATGTGTGTGCTGGTTGCACAGGAAACTGAGTGTCCAGCATCCTGGGGGTAAGCCTACTGGGACAGGCATAGCAAAGACAGTGGGTGGGAGGTCACTGACATCACTCAGTTCAGGCAGTGCTGGTGTGCAAAGCCCATCACTGTGTCCTAGGAACAAGACAGCATTTTGTCTGGCCCATGATGAGCAGACAGGAGTGGCCATACCCTATCTAGGTCTGGCCCACCCCCAGCCTTCCTTGCCTCTGCCATTGGGAAACTAGAGGCTACTCAGCCTCTAGTTGCTAGCACAACTATGGAAGAAGGAAAGACCCAGCCCACACCATACAGACAAGAGATGGCAAAGTCCACGTGTCAGCCTGACTGGCCACAGAGGTCCAGGCTGAACACTGCAATATTCTGGATGAGAGTAGCAGTTAAACCAGAGGACGCCATAAAGTAGGTAGTCTTCCCCTGTGTACCTGGGAGTCTACTGAGGGCCTGAATAGAACACAAGGTGGAGGAAGGAAGAATTGCCTCCTTTTATGTAGATATGCATAACTTCTGTTCTTCTAGAGAATCCTGACTAATACAGAGTTGAGTAACAAGAGGAATTTCTGGTATTTGCTCTCTAAGCTGATTAGATTTAAAGATAGTAACAACTCTATTAACAGTATTAAGTCAAGAGCTAAGTAACTCTGTGTACGATACTTCTGAACATTTGTAGAAAACTAAGGAACTTAATGACATTTTTTAAATTGCTCCTAATGTTGTGGGAGCAGAATGATGATAGAGAAGGATATGCTCAAGGGTTTGATGTCCCTATGGGTTCCACAAAAAGGGCCTAAGGGCTCTTGGATGCACCCTGAGGGACAAAGTGAGGGTGAGGCAAGGGAGGATGAGGCAAGAGGATGACCAATTGTTTGAGAGTGAAGGCTGGTCTGCAGAGACAGACTGTATCCTGCAGTTTCAGGGCAGAAACACTGAAAACTGGATGCTGAGCCCATCCTAGACTGGAGGAATTACAAGGCAAATTGGAGCCCAGCCTTGGGGAGTGTGTGCTGTTGGAGTGAGAGCACTGGCTGTGAAAGAGCAGCATCCCGTTGGGATGGGAGCACATGAGCAGACCTGGATGAGACTGGGAACGAGGCAGGAGGCAGCCAAGGAAATGGCTGGGGAAAGCAGGAAGAGTCGGTCTTGGATCCCACTTTTGGACCAAATTTACCTTCTGAGTTAAACATTAGCCTGGGACCAGCATATCCAGGTCTAAATACAATGGATGAAAGAGACCAGATAGCTTATACACACTAAGTCCAAAAGTCTTTGCCCAGTGATCTTCAGCAATCCTTGGCCAACCTTATCCTTTATTACCATGTCATTGACTATGTAGTTTTGACCATCCTGAGGGCATTGGGTGCCATGACCATTCCTCTGAGGGCCATGGAATGTCAAAAATGCACCAGTTAGTGGAAGGGCAGAGCCAAACCACTCACTGGTAAGACAAAAACTTTAGATCAACTCCTCAATCTCACTGGAACCCTAGTGCTTAAAACCTCAGCATGAAGCCCCCTCTGGCCTGTAAGCTCTTTTCACTAGCACCTGCTCCCACCCTGAAGACTGTACTCTTATTTTGCAAAAAAAAAATATTTAATTTTGCCATTCCTTTTTGGTATCCTGCTCCATTCTTTGTTCAGGACATCAAGAATCTGCTCAAGACCCCCAATCTTGTAACAAGCACACCAAGTCCCTAAGTTCTGATGAGTCTTCTTCACCAGTGAAAGGAACCTCTCCACATCCACCTGAGGGTTAGTGTGGCATTGCCTGAGGAAGTTCTAGTGGCCTCCCTGGGGGAAGGTGGCGGGCAGGACAGTACAGATCCTTCTCAGCACCACCTCGGCCCCTCTTTACTTCTGCACCTACAATTACAGTCAGGTCCCAAGAGGGTCCAGAAGATGAGGTGTAGAGTGAATCATGATGAGGTATGCTACATGCCAAAAGGAACTATTTGAGTTTCCTAACTTACACAGAACAGAATCCAGTGAAAAAGAAAAGAAAGAAATCCAGTGACCGCATGTGGAAATACACACAGAGGGATCAAGATGTGCTGGGAGGAACACAGAGTTGTGTTGGGCTTAGTTTATGGACATGGCCCACTGAACAGACACTGCATCTAACACAGCAGCTCAGGAGTTACAATCTGGTGACTGAAACAGCCATGGAAAGCCCTTTGCAGGTCTCATAGGTGAATCTCAGTACAGGCCTTTAGGATTTTGGAGCAAGGCCCTCGCTTCAAAGAATGACTTCCTTTCTGAGAATTGGATCTTGGCCTGCTACTAGGCTCTGGTAGAAACTGAATGGCCACTGAGTTCCCATATGAATTTGCTTATTATGAACTGGCCCATCAAGCCAAAAAATGTTTGGCATCTACACGTCGCAGCAATCCATCATCGTGGGATGGATGTGTGATTAGACTCAAGTCTGAGGGCACAAGTAAGTTATAAGAAGAGGCCAAAATGCCCAGTGTGCTTTCTCCTATCTCTCTGCCTTCTCCCTCCCATCCTGTACCTGTGGCCTTACAGAGAGTTCACGCCCTGTGAGCAGTGGACGGAGGAAGAGAAGACTCAGGCCTGAGTTACAGAGAGTTTTGCGTGATATGCCGGAACCACCAGAAATAGCTGCAGCACTACAGACCCTTCTGGGACATCCCTGGGGACAGTACTGAGCAGAATATGCCTAGGGGACAGAATTTTGGACAGTGCTTGAAAGGAGAAATTGCTAGGCCTGTGGTTACACGCATAGTCATGGGCTGAGACCAAAGGTCTGGCTCAGGTCAGGGACTTGGAAGAAACATTAATAGAAAACTGATGGCAAGGAAATTTGGGAAAGAGGTATGTGGATAGACCTCTCGGAATAGGAGAAGGACATGAGGAAGATATTTGTATTCCATGTGACTGTTTTCTAAAGAGTAACCTCAACAGAGGGAGCCTTTAACAATCAATTGAACAGGGTGACCCATTCTGTAGATACCAGGTGGCCTCTTTCCCAGAAACTCCTGTCATTGCCCAATGGACCCATGAACAAAGTGACCATGGAGTCAGAGATGAGCGTTATAATGAGCTCAGCAGAAGAATTTCTACTTATCAAAATTGACCTGGCTATAGCCACCACAATATGCCAGCAGCAGAGACAAACACTGAACCCTTGGTGTGGCACTGTTCCCTAGGGTGATCAGCCAATGACCCAGTGGTAGGCTGATTAGATTGGATGGATTCTGCCATGAAAGGGGGCAGTGTTTTCTTCTAACTGTAGTGGATTTGTGTTCTGCATATAGATTGGCCTCCCCTGCATGTAATATTTTTTTCCAAAATTACCATTCCTAGACTTACAGTGGGTTTTATTTTGTTGTTGTTTTGTTTTTTTGAGACAGGGTCTCACTATGTAGTTGAGGCTGACCTGGAACTCACTATGTAGTCCAGGCTGGTCTTGAACTTACGGCAATCCTCCTGCCTCAGCCTCTCACCACACCCTGCAACTTACAGTAGGCTTTATCTACCATCTTGATGTTTCTCACATGTCTTAGTCTATTTGTACAGCTATAACAAAATACCTTAGACTGAACAACTCATAGTTCATTAATTTCTCATAGTTCCAGAGTCTGTGAATTCTAAGCTCAAGTTACCATCAAATGCAGTGTGTGGGGAAGGCCTGTTCCCTTAGGTGACAGACTAGACCTGATATCAGCCTAAGGAGCGGGAGACACAAAAGAACAGTCCACACCAAGATTTTGTTATTGTGCTCTCTTACGGTGGTAGTCCACTTCTCCTGTAACACGTACTCATTTTCGTACTTTTATTTGGCCCAAACCTATTCTGTAGAGACTGTTTCTTTTCCTACCTTTAATAAGATTTTGCTACTATTTGGACTTGTCTTAACCAATTATTTGCTTAGGACAGAAAGAATCTAGAAACTACTTCTGGAAGGAGACACCAGCACCCCAATACCCTGTAACACTAAGGCCATCTGTTCAATCCTGACTGTAAGAATTTTTGCTTCTTTCATACTAGTTCAATTCTCCCTCCATCTTATCAGGTTCAAGTATTTCTTTCTCCCTTTCTTTCTTTTTTTTGGGGGGAGAGTGAGACAGAGTCTCACTATAGTTCAGACTGGCCTTGAACTCATGGTGATCCTCCTGCCTCAGCCTCCTGAGTACTGGGATTTATAGGCAGGCACCACCATGCCTGAGGTATTCAAGTATTCTTATGATAAGTTTGGCTTCCAGTTTTTCTCCCTATCTAACATGCATGTGATTTGTAGTTGCTAGTGACATCTCCAGAATTTTTATGTCACAGATCCCGAGATATAAAGATCTTTTGAGCAAATTGTTGAGACAGCCCAGCTGTTGTTATGACTTCTTTTTCCTGTCTTTCTGATCTGCTGATGCAATGAAACTGCCAAATATTACTTGATCTCAAGAAGAATTTCTATATGACCAACAGGACGAGATAGACTAGTTATGACGAAGTGTAAGCAGTGCTGGGACCTTGTTATTGCACATAAAGAGCTCACGGTCTCACAACCATGTCATGAGGAATGAAGCCATGAGCCAAATGGAGGAAGTTAAGAGGACCATCTGTGCTTGTCTTGACCAATTCTTTGTTCAGGACAGAAAGAACTTAGAAACTACCTCTAGAAGGAAACTCCAGCACCCCAAAATCCTAGAACAGGGGCACAAAACCATTCAAATTAGAGTAACACAGACTTACTTCTAACCAAGGGACTCAATTCACAGTAACAGATGGGGCAGCTCTGGTCTCGTGTCTCTGGAATTAGATGTCAAATCTTCCTGGAGCAGCTGGCTGGATAGCACAATGGAACGGCCACAGGAAGATACAGTTGAGTACCAGGTGGGTGACAACACCTGACTGAAGCAAGGTCCTCAGGGAGGCCAAACATGCTCCAAATCAGCATCCAGTGTATGTTACAGTTTTCCCCATGACCAGGATTCACAGGTCCAGAAATCACAAGGTGGAAAAGGGAGTGGCCCCACTCATCATGGCCCACATGACTCACCAGCAAAAGTTTCTCCTGTCCCCTTGCACTTATGCTCCACTGTCTTGAGGTCTTGGTTCTACCAGGAAACACAACAATGATCCACTGAACTAGACACTGAGATGTCACTTGCTACTTTGGGCTCCTCAGGCCTCTGAGTCAACAAGCTGCTGGTTGAGGTGACTGATCCTGACCACCTAGAGGAACTTTGACTCCTCCACAAAGGAAGAGAAGAGTATGTCCAGGTTGCAAGAGACCCCTTAGGGTATCTCCTAGTATCATCACCAGGCCCCATGATCAAGGTCAGTGGGAAACATTAACCACCCAATGCAGCAAGACTAAGAATGGCCTAGACCTTCAGGAATGAAGGTATGGATCACCCTTCCAGATCAGTAACCATGGCCCACTCTGGTGATTGCTGAAAATAAAGGAAATACAGGATAAGTCATAGAGGAAGGTAGTCATATATATCAGCTTTGACCAGTTCAAAGACCAGTTATAATACTAAGACTATGTAGCCTGAGTATTTCCTCTCTTTTCTGTTAAGAATGTGTTTGTGGGTGTATAAACACATATTAAGGAAGTATCTTTGTTTTCATTACTCTCTTAGTCATTACTCTCTTTATCATGTGACATAAAATGCATTAACTTTATATCAGTATTTAAGTGTAAAGTAGTCATTAAATTATCAGAAGAAGAGTAAACATCACTCACAGACTTTACTTCCTCTTCTGAGGAAGGAATCCATGCAAGTTTGTACAGTTTTGTCAAGTTAGATAAGGTCATGACCTTGTCACTTCCTCTACCTAAAGACTAAGTGTGGTTTAAGGAGGTAATCGTGGGTCCTATTGATGAGGAGTAGACCTGTGGTAGTTACTTTTAAATGTTAATATAACTGGCTTCAGAGATGCTGAGATAGCTGGTAAAGCATTATTTCTAGGTGTGTCTATGAGGATGTTTCCAGAAAAGAAGAGTATTTGAAGCAGTGGCTGAGTGAGAAAGCTCACCTTGCCCAGGTGGGTGGCATCATCCTATTGGCTGAGGATTCGGACAGAATGAACAGGCAGAAGAAAGGTAACATCCTCCTCCTCCATTACTCTCTGTCCTAACCTGACCGTGAAATCAGTGCTCCAGGTTCTCTGGTCTTTGAACTGTATGCCTTGCACCAGTGGCCATGCCCCTCCATCTCAGCCCTTTGTCCTTAAACCAATAGTTATACCATTGACTCCCTGGTTCTGAGGCTTTGGCCTTGGGCTGTGCCTGCAACCAATTCCCTGGTCTTCCAGTTTGCACATGGCCTTCCGAGCCTCCAAATTATGTGAACCAGTGTCTCTAATGAATCTGCTCTCGTACCACCATATATCTTAGGAGGAGCATGGTGGGCACTGCTGCACAAAGCCCTGATCCTCCCTGCAGGACCAAAATTCTGGCCTAGTCATCTGTCTGGTTCACAGCAGTGTCCCTCCTTAGCCCAAGGGAGCTGCTTTATCCCAGATTTCAGGGTCACCTGTATTTAACAGGTGATGATGGAGGAAGCAAAAGGCCAGTCCTATAATTAGTAGCAGGTGATGGTACAGGAGATTAGGGCATGACAAAGCTGGCTGGGGAAGTAGGCATGACTGTTAATTACAAGATCCCGGAGCATAAATGCAGAACAGTTCCCAAAGCCCTGCACATGGACTTCTTGTGAAAATTTGGGCAAGTTTTCAACAGGATGCCCTAGACCTGACCTCATCCTGAGGCACGGGATCCCAGCACCACTTCTCATGACCCGTATGTAGAAGTTCTTGAGAGTTTCCTTGAGATTCTGTAAGCATAAAAGGACATGGGTGCCATGAAAGCCTTCTGTCATGGCTTCCCTCATGATAGCCTATACTTTTAGCTTGCTTTTTTTCTCTTCTATTTGGCCCATCCTCTTTCTGCAGGGCAGTTTCTCACTCTTCGCCTTTCCTTTTCCAATAAACTTTCTGTTTTTTGTTTGTTTTGTTCAATTCTTTGTTCAAGATGAGAAGAATTTGGAATCCAACTCCAGGAGAGAGAAGCAACCCAAAATCCCATGACTGATTTGGTGAGTTACTTTTATGAGTTGCACCCCGTACAGTATTATCTGGTGCAATTATTTATCTGTTGCAATTTTTTTTTTTTGGTGAGCTACTTCTAGAGGAAGGCTACCCAGTGACAGTACAGCCATGCTGGTTGTTAAAATAGGAAACTATTAGCTGGGTGTAATAATCCTGGTACTCTGAGAAACTGAGGCAGGATTGCAAGTTTGAGCCCAGCCCAGACAACCTAGTGACTTAGAGAGATCCTAACTCAAAATTTAAAAATATGAATAAAAAGAGATAGGGCTGGGAATTTAGCTCAGTGGTTCCACCACCTGCCTTGCAAGTACAAGGTCCCAAGTTCGATCCTGGTACAAAGAAAAAAATTTTTTTTAATTAAAATATAAAAAGAGCTGGGGATATAGCCCAGTGAGAAGGCCATAGGTTCAAGCCCCAGAACAGCAGAAAACAAACAAACAGCAATTAAAAAATGATTTCCAGCCAGGGATTTAGCTCAGTGGTTCTGCTGCCTGCCTCGCAAGCTCAAGGACCAGAGTTCGATCCCTGGTACAAAAAAAAAACCCAAACAAACAAACAAACAAACAAAAAAATGATTTCCATACTTGTTGGTAATGTGCCCCAGCCTCGAGCATATAGGTCACCCCTACCCTCCCCAGGTTCTCAGCAGGGCCAGGCGGAAAACTTCCAGATGATTCCCAGCTCTACCCAAAGCTGAGCTGCTTAAACGGCAGAAGTTTATTTCTCACAATGTGAAGTCTTTGAACAAGTGTGGGAAGGGTTGTTTCCTCCTGAAGCTGTGAGAGAAAACCTATCTTGTCCAGGGCTCTTCCAGCTTCTGGGGCTCCCCATGATTTGTGTTCCTCCTTGGCTCATAGGAGGTTGGCCCTGACCTCTGCCTACATCTTCACGTGATGTCCTCCTGTATTCTTGTCTGTAGGCAAATTTCTGTTTTTATGAGGACACCATTAATACTGGAGCAGAGCCCATCCTAATGGCGTTGCCTCAATTAATTAAACCTGCGATGACCCTGTTTCCAAGTAGGGTTATATTATGAGGTACTGCAAGTTTGGACCACAACATGAGTTTCAGTCAACACAATTCAACCCACAACATCTTCTTCTGATCATGGGATCAGACAATCAGGAGCATCGGGCTGTGCGAGAAGGGGAAGTGGGTAGACATGAAAAGGGCCAGATTTGCATGGTCAGAGATTCAGATGCTGGGACAGGTCCAGGAGGTTCAGGGATCCCACGAGAGATTCCACCCACCCACTACCCCTGGTGAGGTAAGGTAAGACCCTTTCTTGTGTGAAGATGCCTACCTCCTGTCCCTCATAACCTCGGGTTCCTGGGCCACCACAGAAGGATGCAGGGTTGGGCAAGTAGCCAGGGTGAAAGTGATGGTGACTGATTAGTCATTTTACCATTGGCAGAACAAAATACCTGCCATACACAATTTAAATGAGAAGAGGGTAATTTTTGGCTCCCTATTTCAGGGGTTTCAATCCAGGGTCAGTTGGCCCCAAGGCAGAAATGTCAGAGCAGAATGGCGTGATGAAGGAAAGCTGCTTACCTCATGGCAGTCAGGAAGCAGAGAGAGCAAGGAAAAGCCAGGGAGGAAGGGACTGGGACAAAATATACTCTTCCAGGTTACATTACCGGTGACCTACTTCCTCCAGCCAGCCCCACCTCCAAACAGCACTGTTCAGCTATGAACCCAGCAATGTGTCATCTACTGATAAGGTTAGCAACCCTATAATCCAATCCAGTCACCTTCCAAAAGCCCCACTTCTGAACACATGAGCCTTTTGGGGGACCGTTTTTGATCCAAACCATAACAGTGATCTATGAGCCATTGAATGCCTGGAATTAGACTGCGGGAATGTGGGACAAGTAGCAGAAGTGAGAACAACACAGCAAGGTGGGCAGCAATTGCACAGACTGCCTCAGGGACATGTGCTGGAGTGGGAAGCAGCTGCCTCTTGGATTTCTTTTTGCCCTGCCCTGACCTGGCTGGCATCCCACTGTCCTGGGCCCTATGACTGGAGATCTGTCCCCTAGCTACAAGGCCTTGTGCAACACCCTCACCATATCCTGAGCCCTATACTGAGAAAGATTTTTTTTTCCTCACCCATAGCTAAGTCATGACCGAAGCCCTATAATGAGAGTCAGATTAACAAGAGAAAAGCATGCACATCTATTTAATATAAGTTCCACATGAAGCCAGGCATGGTGGCGCGTGCCTGTGAACCGAGCACTCTGGGAGATGGATGACAAATTTGAGCTCAGCCTAGGCAATTTAGTAATTTAGCGAAACCCTATTTCAAAATTTAAAAAAATGTTTTAAAAGGCTAGGAATGTAGTTCAATGCAAAAGTCCCAAGTTCTATCCCCAGTACCACGTGCGTGCGCGCACACACACACACACACACACACACACACATTCCACATGGCATTGACAACTCCAGAAGTGGAGATCCTCAGAAACAGACAGAGTCTGGCACTATGCTTTGCTTTTTTTTTTTTTTT